TACTTTTAATCCACTTTCTGTGTGAATTACTGAATTTGTACACGTGTTTTATTACTTGTACCAAATACAATTTCACGCCTCTTCCTTCTAAAATGTAAAATCTTGGTTTTCGCATCAAACAAAGCCTTTTTTATAGTCTATAAATAATACACCAGATTGCAGATCAAAATCCGCCCTGTTTTCAGCATTAAAAATACATGAAATTCCCTCCTGAATCTTTGATTGTTCCTTCCGAAGTGAACCTTCAGATAATACATAAAGTTTCTGTGAAAGGTTATATTAATATTAGAGTAATTGAATTGATGGTTTCAGAAACCACACACATTTTTTCAGGAGAGATATGAACTGTTTTTAAATAACTTACTATTGTCGTCGAAAGTTCTTACTGCATTAACAGAAGACCGACATTTAGAAGTCGCAAGAATCTTGCCAAGTTTCGCTGAATTTTTAATCTTTTGTAAGAATATGTTCAAATTGTTACGTCGTTTCTTTCTAGTAACAGACTTATTTCTATTATTATTTTAGTTATGTCATAATTGACTGAGGAAAACTGATTATTCATGAGTTTTTTAAAAAAATTATGTTCAGTAATGCTTACCTTCTGCACAAAACGCATAATTAACGTTAGAATGTTTCAGCAAATTCGTACAGCAACTCTTTACAAACTGCGGAAAAAGATTCGAGACGAGAAGGCTAATTATATCCAATATTCAATAGGCGTAAACATTTGGATGCTTGAAATGTAGTGCAAAGAGTGGGAGAGAAGAAAAAACAATCCAATGATTATTAAATTCACTTTTCCCCTGTGCATTAAGCCAATTTCTGTGCTGTCACATTAATCTGTATCCTCGTAACTGTTAAAAATAGGAACACTTCAAGTTCAGTGTTTTCCCATTTTCTGACATTAATTGGCTGCCTTTTTCTGAAAATTCCCTTTCATTACTGAGGGAGGGAGGTTTACGACATAAGCAGACTTAAACAGGGCTTGCACGTGTCAAAGAAATGTTTGACTCCGTAACAAACCTTAAAACAAAATACCTGGAAGTGGCCCTCCTGCTTGTTTCGACTTCAGAAGTTGAGTACGTTAGAAGTTGGAACCAATAAATTACTTGAATAAGAATTTCCTTGGATATTATCCATCGTCTAGTAAATATAAAACGTAAAACGACGTTTCGGAGATGGGACTCTATCTCCGTCTTCAGGTTCCTACACAGTTGGGCCCACTAGATAGAGCTAATCCCTATCTCCCTATCTACATCGTCTTCACCAAATCCTGTATTTACAGTTTATTTAACGACGTGTTCTGTCTGACGACAGGTCCATATGAACAGGATCCTTCCATCCTTTTCTCGGACTGGGACCTGTTCATATACGTTCTTGGCAGATGATCCAGAAGTGTTTTGCCATTGCCTTCTTCTGTGTGTGCATGGAGTAATTGTTGGGATGCCACGGAGGAAACCTCTGTGTTGGCTAGACCACGGCCTTGCCCAACACAAGTTATAAATTCGGGCACCGCCGGGAATCGAACCCGAGACCCCAGGATTACAAGGCCAGCGTTCTAACCGCTAGACCACCGTGGCTTCAATGCATGTAACACGTATTAAAAGCAAAATGTATTTCGGAAATAGCCACTGCGCTGTGTACCTCAGGGGCAAGGTTTCTCTGGTACTTAGAAGTAAATCCCTGTAAAACGGTGAATAGATGGGATAATAATAATAATAATATGTTGGTAGAGTGAAGCTGGAAATAAGAGGATGGAGACCAGTGAGTGATGTATTTGTTTATCATTTACTGCAAACACAATTAGTTTTACACAGTTTTAATTATGTTAACGTTAACATGTAAAAAACGATACTACTGATTTTGCCGTCCGGACCAAATTTTCATCTAACACACAAAATTGCGATCTCTGAAACAGCAAGATGATAACACGAGCACCGGAAGTCACGCGGTGCCGGATTTTGCACTCGTAAGCAAGAGCTAAATGTACACTCGATATCTGTCACACAGAGTAATGCATATAATTTCAGCTGGAAATATACGATATATTTGTAATATTATAGATTTGCTTTAATCACATTTATATACGTAATATAATAGAAGCAGCGTTGGACGTGGTTTGAACGGGGAAGGGGGTGTTAAGATTATGCAAACTGGATTTTTTAATTTCGTCCGCAAGGCAAAATCAGATTATAGCAACTTTTTCTCATCTTAACATTCCTGATGTTGGAGCAGCGATTGCTTGGGTTGTCTTCGATCTGAGGACACGGTGATCGCCGAATCTCCACAGGAGGACAATCCTCCGTATCTCAAAAAAGATTGCACAGAAGTTCTCCATTTTATGGACAATGTAAAAGAATACTTATGGTCCCTAGGGATCGGCGAAAAGGCTGTTTTACATATTTTTCAGTATCTTTTAATAAGGAACAACGTCTCTGAAATACATGAATTTCGTGATATATTTATATATACGCATTTATTTATATTCTCACAGCTCTGTCCGTTCAATTTGCTTTCGTCTGTCACTAATTCAGTTGTAATCTTCGTTATTGACTTAAAAGTTTAGTTCACACTTTAAACTTTACGAATATAATAGTTGTAATTTAGTTAAACCTTTCAGGAGCTCACAAATTTCGTTGTTAAACGCAGTTTTCATAAAGTCTTCGCCATTAGGCCATCTATTATAGCAATCACAAAAATTGACGTAAAGTCATTTAAAGAAAATCAGGTTTCAGAAATCTCAAATAGTTACGCTTGTGAATAATCACTGTTTCATTCAATTTACTTAATATTTTTATTCCGTAGATGCGTTTTCCTCCGACGCCACTTTGCGTAAGAAGTGAAACCACACCCATCTGATTAATACAACCATAGAACTAAGTACTTTAACTTTATCAGACTTTGAAGCCTAGGGAAATCGACTGAAATGTCGACACTTACATTGAAGGCGGGAGGAAGACCAAATATATATTCAGGAAATAAAATATCATGTTACATGCGATTAAAAATGTCGAATTCCATCCCACGAACGATTTGGGTTTGTCTGAGTGTTTGAATGAAACTCGTGGGATAAGATGCCACATCGCGGTACTTACTAACCGAAAGCGAACGAGAAATTTTCCGAAGTTTATTTCATTTGGTTGATGTTGTCATCGGACTCAGAGTGTGGACGCAAGTGTTTCACGACGTCTGTTACGCATTCAGTGTCGTCGTTTGAATTGCAAATGGAAACCAAGTGAGAGGGAAAATGTAGGCTTTTAAAAATGATTTTTAAGTTTGTTTTCGATTTTCCCATGTGCCCTCTTGGGACGTACGAACACATTAATAACACAGCGGAAACACGAACTGCTGAAATGATTTTTGTCAGGACTCTGGAACGGGCAGCCAGGGTGTGACGCTGGCCACTCACCCCCATCTAGTGCCGGAGTTAAGAACGAGTAGGAGCTACGCCGTCTCTCCCCCCCAGCGCCTACATGGCGTACAGCGAGACCGGTTGCTGTTTAGAGTCTCATACCGACAACCACTCAACCGGATTTCGAAGAGTTACGCTGAAGATGGCGTTCAACCGAAGGCATCGGAGTATGCAGTTTAGGTCGTTTGAAAAACCGAGCTACTTCGAGGACCGAGAATTCAATGCGTTATGGAATCCTAGGCAATAAAAGTAACCCGATCTAATTTATGGTGGTATCCCTCTTTTCTTGCATTGGAAAGAACATTACGCGATCGGAATCTTCAAAGACAGACCGACTGAACGTGATTCATTTGTTCTCTTCGTTATTGCCCGCCCAGTCCTCCTCCTAGCGGAATCAAAGAGAATTACAGATGATCGTCTAATTTCATCACCGAATCTACAAATATTTCGCTCTCCAGAAATACTGCAATTAATATAGTATATTTAAATTAATAACACTCACGTAAAGCAGATGCATATTTAAAGAAAGGCCTTAATCATCACTTACGAAATTTGAATCGTAGATATTCGTCAAAGACACTATCAGCATCGAAGTATTGTCGCTTTTATTCTACACTAGACGTTTCGGCTCAAGGACGATCTTCACGTATAAGAAGCGTTGACTCACGAAGCAATATTGCAGAACCATTTAACATTCTAAACAGAAGCAAAGTGTGTTCTGCGCTAACCGATATTGACCAAGGATGACACGTGGAAAATATATACGTTACATCGCCAAAAAGAAGTCTGTAACGTCGAAGGGCTGACGATGTATGAAACAGGCAGAGGGACGTGGCACCTGGTGGGAAGTTGAAGGGCGACTCCCGACTTCGCGATCCATGAACTGCCGTCGTCGGATTCCTAGTATTCACTGTGGATACCAATTGTAATGAGTCAGTCCCTTAACCCTTTGAAGCCGAAGATCGTCTGAATATTATTTATGAATTCAGTCCGTACCGCGAAGAAAACACTACACCTCACCATTACGAAAATCAGCTGGTTAACCCTTTGAAGCCGAAGCTCGTCTTCATAATATTTACGAATCTAGACCGTACCGCGAAGAAAACACTTCACTTAACCATTAGAAGTCGAATCAGGCGGTACCACATAAGATTTAACATCCCGGTCAAAGCCTTAACACAACGCGTTCTGAAGCATCTACGGAGTTTAGACTATGTAAGGAAGCTGTCGTGGCCTGATTTAAGGTAGTCTACTGGCATCTGAGGAAAACGAAGAAGGACGTCAGTCACGATGGCAGATGTGCGGGCCGATATTTTAACCTGGGAGTGCTAACCACAGGAGAAATACCTCGTGTGCACTCTGAAGGTCCATTCATTGAAGTCTGTGTCCTGTAAGGCCTGCTCATGCGCAATGTTGCTGCGTCTCTCGCATTTGTGCGGCGGGCAGCCTATCTCGCAGGCGAACGGGCTAACCAACATTGATCTATATAAATTTACGATCTGGAAGTTATCTTGATTTAAAATGAATTTTGAAGAGCACGATACTTAACAATTAAGAAACTCAGACGAGAAGTGTGACACCAGAAGAGCACGATACTTAACAATTAAGAAATTCAGACGAGAAGTGTGACACCAACGTTGTTAAATATTAGTAGGAGGACCCAGAATTAAAGACCCCGAACGAAGACATTGAAATTCATTTGCTGAACGGAATTTGTTTCCAGCGCCGCGTGGATGATTTTCTCGTCCGTGGTTGTGTGAATCCGCAGTGACTTCAAGACGAAACGTCAACCGCGTAAGACGAAGTCCACACAGGCGTAGGGTCACTACGTGACAACAGCTGTACTGACGTAATCGGTTAACACTCGTTTACGACTGAGTTCTTCGAAAATCCTTTGTTATTGGAGAACAAAAATAATTTCTGAATCGCAATTCGGATGTTTTATCGCATATAAAGTATATGAAAATACGAAAGAGAAATCATATGAATAAGCTGTCTGTACGTTTGGGGATGTCTTGTGTCTGTGGCTGCGATAATGACAAAGCATCACAACACAAATGTAAATTGAGACACATATTACCATCATAATACGGCTTATAGAATGTGAAAATATATTTGAATATACAGTGCCAAGGTCATCGTCTCTTTTTCTGAGTACATGGTCTTTAATCTTCCTTCCTTTGCTCGCTTTAAGGGCGTCGTGTTTTTGTAATGACAATCTCAGAAACAGACGATGACTCATTAATCTTCTTCACGAAGCCACGAAGTGAAGAATAATTTTCTGATCCTCTCCTCATCTCCGCGGTCTCCTTGAACCAAGTGATAGGCCTAACAAATGTTCACGATTCTCCGTGCGAACGCTTTCGTAACAGAACCAGCTGATCTGTCGTACTTGTGGTTATTAATTCGTCGTTAAGTTAGACGATTACACAGATAAGTAATTAGGGATGCTGTACACAGGCGGGCCTGTGTTTATCACATCTTCAAGAGAACTCTCGCGATAAGGAACAACAGAGCTTGCGGTCTGGACGACCTGTCCGCCCTTAACGATCCAGAAATCGTATAACTGTTCCTTCAAATTAAGTAACGATTATTTCCCACGTTGCTCAGTCGGTGGGGGGGTTGTGTGACGTCACGTCATCCCTCTCTTGCTCGCCAGGTTGTGGAGCTTGTGTATGTTGGACAATGTAGTGACGTCATCTGGCTGGAGTCGCAGCGCCTCGCCGTAAGAAGTGGCCGCTTCCATTAACTTCCCGTTCATGTGTAACATGGCGCCGAGGTTGAGGTGACTATTTGCCTCCTAAAAGCGAGATCAAACATACAGGACACAGCACACTGAAGCATATTAAATCATTTCCTAAAAGCGAGATCAAACATACAGGACAGAGCACACTGAAGCATATTAAATCATTTATCTCATTTAAGAAATTGGCTTAAAATTACATTACTTTCAGTTCAGGGTCAATATGTTTTGAAATCGTTACAACAAAACCCACAATTCTTTCAAACATAAGTTAAGACATGACTGATCTCGCATTGGGTCTCAAATTTCATCTGTCTTTTTTACCCACTAAAAGAACGACATGCTACCGTATCTTTGTGTCAATGTGTTACGTCCACGTACCTAACGTGATAAGCAGATGTCACTTAGATGCTTCTAAGAACATCCCTACTTAAGTTACATTCGACGTAACCGCCTGTATGACCCACTTAAGACAAAACGGCTTTGCTGAAATGTGATATTCTAAATCCTTAATGAGGATGTATCGAACTTGAACATAGGTCTGCACCGAAAAATACGAAAATCACTTCATTCAACGTCTAAAAGGCACACTTGTATTTGATACACCTAATAAATAACGAACAGTTAAAAAAGATAAACATTAAAAAAAAATATTTACAGCTAGACGAGTAAGGTTTAGTACAGTCACAAAGCGATTATGTTTCATCAAGACAAAAAATTATATTGACGAAATAAGAGGCTATTGACACATAAAATTGAAGACAAGTCTTCAATGCAGTGTAATATAAAGGTTCATCACCGAATTAACCAAAGCCCTCCACCGGACCAACAAAATCCAGCCTCCTTCAACTCCTATCTCCCATAGATCCCGCCTGAGATTATCCTCCCATCTACGTCTAGGTCTCCCCAGAGGTCTCTTCCCCTCAGGCTTCCCAACCTTAGAGTAAATAACTAAAATGTGCCCATAAATTTGATGTGCCTTGAGAATCCACGCATGTGCAAGAGATGTGCTTGAGCGTTGACGTCATCACTGACTTGAGGACAGGAAGGGATCAAAACGTACCACAGGTCTGTAGGTCCATGTCCCATGAAACCCGGATCAGACTTCGCGAGACTTTAAATGACAAAGTTAACAGGAACTGTTGGGTGCATTACCAGTCTCGTTTCGTTGTCGCAAAAACATACAAGAAAAGCACAGAGTGTGCGATTAACGCGAAGACGCAGAGAAAATAGATGTTTCGAGTACTCCACGACCCGGAACTATAACCAGTGGGGATCGGCTGTGTCGGAAGTGAACGTGGTTCCGTCTCGTCGCTAGGGACAGTGAGGACATCGTCCGTCGGAGGCCCCGCACGTCATGTGTAGGCTACCTGAGGTCTGAGCTCCGCTGCTACTCTGTAGAAGTGTTCTGCGCGCTCACCGTTCCCGGACTGTCTCAGCGAAGTGGCCGCCCTCACAACGAGATCGTACTGTGCGGGCCCTAGTTCCAAAGCTCGCAAGTACTGCGCCGCAGCTTCGGCGTGCCTCTCCAGCCGTGTGAGGAACTGACCTGCAACACACGGAGCCTCGATCGCCATCCGTCTTCTGCATTAGTCGTCGCCGAATTGCAGGCTTCAAGGTCACGGCGATAGAGCGGAGCCCAGGCGAGTAAAGACAGTTCGGAACTCGCATCTCAGCAGAGCTGGCAACGCTGTGCTGTTGACTTGGAGCCCCGCGGTAAAGGGGGGGAATCCTCCCGTGGCCTTGAACCTTGCAACTTGGTGACGACAACAAGAATGAGTGGAGGTTTCGACCAATGATGTGATCTGTCTTCGAACTGCTGTTACTATGGCGATGACGAATATGTTTCACACCGATAGAGTGGTCTTATACTAATGAACGAAGGTTTTAAGATGGTATTGTCCGTGCTGATGGCGAAAAAGCAATATCGGTGATATAGATGTTGGTGATGAGGAATTTTGAAGTAAATAAAAAAGTCTCACTGAGTCCTTACTTTACGTTCAAGAAATGAAGGCCTTCACATATTATCGCGTTATCAGAAAAAAAACATGGCGCTACAAATAATTGTTACTTGTCTCTCAGTTTACTGAACTTTGTTGCTACTTTTTTGTTCCTTCGAGTGGGCACACGCGAGCCGAAAGGATTGGAGAACATTAATTATTCTCGCATTTCTCGTAGTTTTTGTCGGATATTTTATCGGAGGTTCAAGGAAAATGTTCCAAGAACTTCTTCAGGATCGTCGAATTGTCTTTAAATTCTATCCGAGTGACTCCTGACTATAAATCAGAAATGACGAGCTCTTAATTCATATCGCACGATTACACAGCGGTTTCGATTTCAGAAATTGTGATCTTGTGTCATCAATTGGAAGGGAAAAGGGAATTATAAAATCGGAGAACATTGTCTGTTGCAAAGAACTGTCCTGGCATTCGGCCAGCGCATCTAGAAGTCCGGGATTCAAATGGGGCGTCTTCTGAACAGTGTTGAACCTCGTCACAGTAAAATTCATGAGAACCAACCTAGAGACGAACTTTTTCCATGCCAATAAAGCGACTCGAGTTATTTGAAACGGATAAAGGCTGCAGGAGCTGAAAGCTTGAGGATCTGGGCTCCAAGCTTCAGCGACAGTAATACTGTGTTTGCTTTTCATATTACGACGTCACTCGCCCGACACTCCCAGGGGTTCCGAGAACTTCAGTCTGAAGTGCACTTGGAACACGGCGTAACTGTCTGCCGCCTCGTCTCAAAATGTTATTTTACTCTGTGCAAACGCGGCAGAGTTTGTTAAAAAGACAAACGAATGCTGTTATGTAGTGAACAGAAAACATCCGGGCTCTTAACAAATTACGTGTTTCCGATGGCTTCACCAGCAAAACCAAACTGATGTATCCTGCCAAGCATTTCCAAAATTCTCTCGCCGCGTAGGTCACAGTTCTTGATAACCTGTGAATGCAACCGGATGGACACGTGGACAACTCACTGGACCGGTTGTTCTCTAGGGATGAAACATCGCGGTACGTCAGATGATTTGCAATTTATCGTCAGGCCACTGGCCGGAAGGTGACGCGCCGTGAACACTCATTTCTCTTTATTAATGATGACGTGGCGCACCGGAAGTTGAATTTGGTAACAGTGCGACAGACAAATCTCACCGTGGTGACGGACAGCTGCCCGGCACAGGTGGTACGCCCTGCCACGGAGATTGATGCGAGGGGGCTCGAACTGAAGGTCCTTCACTGCATCACGGCGATGGGATGACTTCAGCACACGTGTTACGAATGTAACAACGCCATTTTAACATTTCAAGGGAACGAATGGTATCTCAGTAATATTTAATAATGTGGTTCCTAACTCGGAAGTAAACGCACGAAATCATCGCTGCGAAAATTCTACTCTTCCAACAGTGGAAAATTCTCCGTTTACTATGAGAACCAAAATAAACTCATGAGCAGACAACGTGAGCTACACGAACCGACCAACAGATGTCAGCAAATGAAATTGGAGAGGAGTTG